AGTTCTCTTTTTATTTAGCAAATTTATTTGCTGCCTATCTCACAATTCAGGTGATGCTGAGCAGCTTTTGAACGTGCTAATAATAGTTGCCCTCTGGATCATGTGATCAAGAAAGAGAGGTCTTAGAATGGAGGACTTGGCAGCATCCTAAACCATTGACCAACATGTCTCCCATTGGGTTGCGTGGATTTCTTCTTGGATTTTTTCCCCACAGCCCCTTAATAAATCTGACTCACTTCAAACACATTTTTTTTTTGCCAACTTCTCCACCCAAACCAAATTTGGTCCCATTGCAACACCTTCCAACATTCAGTTTAATTTGGAAAATATAAAAGGGCATCAGTCTTGAAAGCAGTAACTAAAAGTTGAGGCTGACCATTCTAACAGCTGTTTTTGTTTATATGAGTGATATTGATGATACTTATTTTCTTACTAATGGGCGTTTGTCTTCAGAATTAATTCAGAGATAAGTAACCTGCATTCCCGAGTCATAAGTAAATCCAGTTCCTTTTTGCTGCCCTTAGATCAGAAGGCGTATAGCCCTTAGAACAGGCATTTCAAACTCGCGACATCATGTGATGTCTCACGATGTATCGTGACTTTTTCCCCATTGCCGGCAATGGGGTGGGCGTATTTTCAGTATGATGCATCTGGCCTGTGGGCCAGCAGTTTAACATGCCTGCCTTAGAAGAACTGCAATGTCTGACATCAATAACTTTTGGAAATACATCAGCCTCACACCCAAATGGAGATTAGTTAATGCAATAATTTTTCCAATTGCTACTTATAGCTATGAAACTTAGACTCTGAAAAAAGCAGATAGGAGAAGGGTGGATGCCTTTGAACTGTAGTACTGGAGGTGACTATTACGCATCCCATGGAATGCATAACCTTGCTTAAGGTCAAGATCGCCAAACAGAGACTGTCATACTTTGGTCATATCATGAGAGCTGACTCACTCAAAAGGTCAGTCATGCTGGGAGTGATCAGCGGAAAAAGGAGAAGAGACCACCCTAGCATCCGCTGGCTGGACACTATAAAAGATGACACTGAGATGGCCATAACAGATCTGAAGAGGGCAGTGCAAGACACAGGGACATGGAGAGTGCTGATCCATAGAGTGGTCAAGGTCAGACATGACTGAATGGCTGCTGATGACGACGGATTCCTTTCTACTAAGATTGTAGAAAACATGGTCTGCAAAAAATGCTCTGCTTTGATGAGGCTTTAATGAAACTCCTCTTACATGTAGCACTACAAAGTGAAGTGCACCTATTGTTAAAATTGATATCCATCATACCATATACTCTTTTCAAAATGATGAGCAAAATAAATCATCCTTAGAGGGACAGCTCTCTCCATATTTTGAATGGTCATTAGTGACATTAGCTTCAATTTAGGTAAATGCAATAAGTTTCAAGTCATGGTTTTATTTATGCCCTTAATTTGACATATATATACCCATCCTGCAAATCAGCTTTGGGATAAGCAACTGGCAAAACACAGGAAAGAAAAATAAGTAGAAAGTCAAATAGAGTAAAGACCAGAAATGAAAGAAAAAGGAAATCTAACTTAATCTGCATTATACCATTATCCTTACTTCAATACATTCATACAATAATTCCAGTACTGATTCTGCTCTTTAATCATAAATAAATAAATAAATAAATAAATGTAATCCAAAAAGAATGAAATATAATGACATATATAGTATAAAGCCTCCAACAGACATTTTAGAATAGAATAGAGCTGGAAGGGACTTTGGAGGTCTTCCAGCCCCCTGCTCAAGCAAGAGAACCTATATACCGTCTCAGACAAATAATAATTTAGCAATAGTTTGCAACACTTTACTGGTTTGCTCCTAATAGAAGCTCTGCTTTTTTGATGTTCTAATAAACAGTTGAAATTTTAAAAAAAGTAATTTGGTTCAACTGTATATTATGGAAAGCCTAAGGTCAACAGTTATTTGGCAATCCTGGCTTTCATTCAGTTCTCATGCTTAAATAAGGTATTCTTTTCTATACCTTGGGAAGATAACACAGAAACGTCAAGATGACACTGATAGAAAAACAATCACAAAATACAACTGAGTTATACTTGGATTGATTATATTCAACGCTCACTGCAATTCTTGGCACAGCCAGGAAAGCTATAAGTGGTAGAGCTTACCTTTGATTCCTAGCTATTTTCATGTTATGTTCTTGGTTTTAGCTTTTATTTTATTATGCCAGATTCATAAATTAAATAAAACAATAAAATCAATGCGGTAAAATGGCTCTTATAAATGTTTATCTTGGAATTTTATTCACTTTAATCCTATTATTGTGAAATATTTCACAAGTATTATTGTGCAAGTACAGTTTATTATTTTATTATGAAATAATAGGTCAGTTTTGAAAGTTGTGGTTTTTAAGATAAATGTACATGATATAATTTCAGTGAAAGGAACTGTATATGGTTAAGTGTATATATAGTATTGTAAGAAAAAAGGAAGAAGAGAAAAAAATGGTGATAAGAATATGCGGTATTGTTTCTGAAGTATGGTAAGAAAAATATATCTGATTCATGATAAATAAAGCAATGACACAAATGGATCCTTGTTGCTTCTTTACAGTGAAATTAGCATAGGAATAGCTAGGCAGCCATGTTAAAGTGCTACCTAGCAGTTTTTATACTGACAGAAATGTATATTGGCATAATCCCACTACTCTTGAGTTCTCCTCTGTCCCAGCAACAAGGCTAATGAATAATGTTGTTCTTTCTATTTTAATACAAGCCAAGATAAGCAAAGCAATCCATAGATTCCTCTTGGCTCTATTTCCCTCCCAAGAGGTGCATCTGCTGGGGTCATCAGAAAAGTCCAGAAGACAGCTACAACTTTGTGATTGAAGCCCTCCTCCAGGGGTCTTCAAACTTGACCCTTTTATGACTTGTGGACTTCAACTCCCAGAATTCCTCAGTCAGCGTGCAGGAAGAGGCACAGGACTAATATTGGCATAATCACAGATGACTTAAGTTTAAGAGGTTTCAGCTCTGGGCTGGAAATGTGACAAAGCAATGCATAAGCAAACCTGTGGGTATCTGGACATGTTCATGCCTAACTCAGGGCAGGTGAGGAAGCACCCAAAGAAATTTCTTTTGGATCCATTGATGCCTTAAACAGGAGCCATTAGGAAACTAAGTGGTTTTTATTTCATTTATAGATTTAGACAAGTGTTTTCTCAGCCGTAGCAACTTTAAGATACTGAGCTGAAGTCCACATACCATAAAGTTATAGACGTTGAAAAACATTAGACAACTAGAAATAGATTTTACCACTAATATCACTGGATTTTGCTTTCTGATTACTTATGGTGTATCTTATAGATTTTGGCTGCTTATCATGAAAATAATTTAACCTATCACATACCATTTCATAAAACAAATCTTCTGTTTTGCAATGTATACCCTTCAGTATCTGTTGGCCACACTGCACATATGAAATATACAAAACATGACTGTTGTTGAACCACATCCATTACACCAAGTACAATTGGAATATCTGTGGTGTGGCTCTGCTGCTTGGAATGTAGATAGATATACCAAGTACTGTTGTTGCAAGTGGGTCAGCAGTGTAAGAGAGTTGCATTATATGAAAAAGAACTGACCGCTCTGAATTTGGTTCCAGGAAAGAAAAACATGACACATGAACCACTTGTTTGACCCAACAAAGGTATTTTTGGCCTCCATATCACATCAAACTCAGAGTGATGGAAATGTTTGTGAAAATGATGAACAAGGAAGATGAAGATTTTTGTTTTTTGAGATAGATAGATAGATAGATAGATAGATAGATAGATAGATAGATAGATAGATAGATAGATAGATAGATAGATAGATAGATAGATAGATTTTCAAGAATAACTGTGGATAAGCTTAAGGAAAGCATTTTTGTTAGTCCACAGATCAGAAAAGTCACCAATGACAACCAGCTTGAAGATCTATTAGTTAGTGAGACCGAAGAAAATCACCTGACAGCATTCAAAGATGTAGTGGAGAATTTTCTTGGCAGCTACAGAGAACCAAACTACATTCAGCTAGATGACAAATTTCTTACAACATGCAAGATCATGAAGTGCAACATGTCACTGAAGATTGGTGTTCTGCATTCATACTTGGACTTCTTTTTAGGTTCAGTTAATGACGTACATGGTGAAAAGTTTCACCAGGACATTGACACAATGGAAAAATGCTATCAGGGCAAATGGAATCCATCAATGCTGGCTAACTATTGCTGGACACTGCAGCGAGCATTGGACAAAAATCAGCAGCAAAACATATAGCCCTGTTGAACTCATGCAGCATTTCAGGAACATTATGCAAATAAATATATTATAGTCATTAAAAGTTAATTTTATATTTCTTAAGATTCCAACATGATACAATCATTCTGAAAATATATTTGTGTTCAGTTTAAAAGGGTCTATCATAATCATCAGAAGTTTTTCAGGAAGCAAAACTTTTTTTAAAAAAAAATATGGTTGTCCAGTGTATTTTTTCTAAGGTCAAAAACAAAAGCAAACATCTAAATGATGTGTTAGATTTTTAAATTGGGTTAACTCAGGGATTGTGTTCATAAGAAAGGTAAAAAATCTGCACAAATGGCTTACTGGAGTTTTTGTGTGCACATGGAAAAATTCAAAGTTTAATTTTTTCTATCTTGAAACAGTCCTTAGATCATTAACTATTCCGAAAACTTTCAGCACTTTTAATTTGCACTTCAAGTGCCTTCCTTTTTTTGAAAGGGGAAAAAAAAACTTGTTGCACTAAACTGAGCTTACTCGGAGGAAAGTGGATACAAGCTCGAAAGTTACTTTGCCATCCATCTCCCCCTTCCGAGTTCCGCTTCTCCCTTTTCTACCCAGCGGCGTCTCCCCACGCCTTTTTCAGTCCGCGAGGGGAGGGAAGCGGGTTTAAACACAAGTTATGATGACATGAACGAAGGCCTACAAGACCCGAGATGCACTGCGCGCTGCACAGTGAAGCGCTGCTTCCCCGCTTTAGTTGTCGCTGCTTTGCTAGTGCCCAGACGGTCTTCGCGGGAATAATGGAGGGCAGGGAGTGAAAATTGGAGGTGGGCTCGATTGTGATAGAAATCCCAGGTATGCATCGGCTTTCCAAGCTCTTTCGGAGTCCTATATCGTTTGCACCGTTTGTTCTAGCTTTTCTCTCTTCCTTCCTCTTTCTCTTGCTGTCACAAGCAGCAGTTGTAGTATTTGCTTGAAAGCTGCTCCGAAACTGGGACACTCCTTGGTCTTGCCCCCTGGCTCCCCCCCCCCACATACATATATTGAAATAGAAGACTGATACCTGTTAAGGTGGAATGCTTGGCAGCCTTTTCTTTCTGTTTTAAAATCGATCAGGATTGAAGTCGAAGACACTCTGACTGCTATAACTCTGTTTAAAATACAGTGCTGGGAATGTTGCTATTGTGTTGCCTTGAACGTCAGATGGAAAAAAAGAGGCTTAATGTGAATTCAGTGTGGCCGAATATGTTTAATCTGATTTAGCAACTGAGCATTCTCTTCCAGCGAAAAGAGGACACACACAGTTCCCTTCCTGCTAATTGTTTTGTTAAGGTCTTTGGAAATGTTCAGTGGGGTGGGAAATGAGCCTCTCTGTTCTGCACTATCTCCTAACCCTAACCCTTCCCAAATTTGCTCAGAATGGATGTTAAAGCTTCCTTACGCAATGCCTCAAGAATCCCAAAAGTTTTTTGATTCAGTAGTTTAACTGGTGCACTGAATGACATCATGATGAAGATAAAGGTTCATTAGACTTGGACAGCAAAAGGTAAAACAACCATAGTAAACTTCTGTCTGTGCAGACGTTTATTAAACAATGCAGAGGAGCAAACCTTGGTGAGTTTATAGAGTGCATTTTTGAATCTCTGGTCTCCCTGCAAGACAAATCAGACTAAATGTCTTGGTCAGGGATGGGGAAGATAAATTCTAAATGTTTAATTAAAACCATTAATCAGAATGGTTGATGCTGGAAGTAAGTTGTTCAGCAACATTTACTAAAGTGAAGCGGTACTGTTTTATTCTTGAATTGTAATGTTGGGAACTCATAAGAGAATAATATAATAGAATGTTTACTGTTTCTGCCCAATACTGTGAGAAGGAATAACAGTTAATTCCTGAATTTTGTGAATGTATTATTGTTATATAGTTCTTTGTTGTGTCTGTGGAATTTGAGTCAAGTCTGTTTTTTCATAGATTGACAGTCATAGATTTGAATTCTTGTATTCTTGTATTTTGCTGTCATTGTCATCACACCATAGTACCAAAAGTTTCTTCTTGAAAACATCTTGTTTCAAGTTATCATTTTATGTACAGATTTGAGGAAAGGAAGAGTTGTCAATAACATCTCACGCTGTTTTTTACCTGAGGGAAAAATTAAGAAAAGCTAATACTGAATCTACAAACACAATGGTTCTCCAAGAACATCTCTCCCACTTTCAGATAAAGCAATAACTATAAAAACAATTATAATTTTATAGTAAGCATTTTACTATTTTATAGGTTCACTTTCTTAATCTTCCATTTATTTTTTATGATTCGTGCTGCAAGGCTGATTTCCTGTAAGTCATGTAGGAGATTGCATAATTAGCCTATACATCAATTATACCACAGTAATCTATGTGTGAAAAAGGGGTATGCTAGACAGCTAAGCTAGCTTCCTAGCATGTGCACATGTTGTAAGATGTGTTTGATCAGTTTATGGTTTCCTATTCAATATTCACTAAATCTGTGAAATTGTATTTTAGCAATATCATAATTCTTTGATAGTACATTAATATCACTATGTAGTAATTTCAGTCTTGTTGCCATATAATGAAGAGATCACCATAATGAAGTTTATTCAGGTAGCAAAGCCAAGCTCCATAAAATACGTAATTTTTTTAAGGTCACGGAATAAGGATTGCAAAGAAGAGCAACAAAGATGGTTAGGGAACTGGAGGCTAAAACATATAAAGAACAGTTGCTAGAATTGGGTATGTCTAGTTTAATGAAAAGAAGGACTAGAGGTGACATGATAGCAGTGTTCTAATATTTCAGAGGTTGCCACAAAGAAGAGGGAGCCAAGCTATTCTCTAAAGCAGTGGTTCTCAACCTGTGGGTCGGGACCCCATTTGGGGTTGAATGACCATTTCATGAATAGAGTCTAATTCTATTGGCTTTCAAAAGCCAATAGGAATTGCCCAGGCTGTCTCTGCCCTGCTGAGCCCGCCAAAAGTCCCATTCTGCAAACAGTGCTGCACCAGTTGAGTAGTCCTCGAATTACGACCAGTTGAGTACTCGATTTACGACCGGTTGGGGGTCGCGGCATTAAAAAGGTTGAGAACCACTGCTCTAAAGTACCTGAAGGCAGGACAAGAAGCAATGGATGGAAACTAACCAAAGAGAGAAGCAACCTAGAACTAAGGAGAAATTTCCTGGCAGTTAGAACAATTAATCAGTGGAACAACTTGCCTCCAGAAGTTGTGAATGCTCCAACACTGGAAGTTTTTAAGAAATTGGACAATCATTTGTCTGAAATGGTATAGGGTTTCTTGCCTCAGCAGATGGTTGGACTAGAAGACCTCCAAGGTCCCTTCCAACTCTGTTATTCTATGTTATTCTGTTAAAGTTAAATTGTAGGTCTTTGTTGGAAAGAGGCTTTTGTGTAATTGAGACAAGAAAGTGACTGACAGATTTGTTCATTAATTGTCAAATCATAACGTTTTAATGTGAGAGTCATTTCAGATGTTTTTAGTATTATAAACTGTATTAACCACAAACAAGCACATCCTGTTATAGGTTTGTGCAATAATATGAACCCAACCCAAGGCTGAAAAAATTTGTCACCCAAACTGATCCACATGTCTACATAACAATCTTTGTGAGCTCTCTAAGAAAATTGGAATAAATGTCTCACTACCAATGAATGGGAGAAAGCCTTCCAAACTTAGGAATAGACATTTACAGCAAATTTAGGGTAGAGTTCAACGATTTCTGACACAAAACAGCTAGGAAGCAAAATGCCAATTAATAAAACAAGGCTAGTAGCAGGAAACATATGATAGCCAAAACTGCATAACTATCACAAATTATACAAAAATGGAGATATGCACATATTCAAAATATAGTTGCTATTTCCTGTTTAAAACTCATACAGTACAGCATAAGATTTACCACCACCATTTTGTGTGGCTCTGACAGTGAACTGAAAAATGCTAAACCAAAAGTGAGAAAAAAAATGTTTGGCACAGTGAGCGGATGTAATTTCTAGAACAACTTTCCATAATTTGCTGACTGTCATCAACTTCAGCTACTGGCCATTTATCTAGGAATTATGGGAATTTATATCTACCATATCTAAGGGGCATCAGGTAAAAGGGAGGATGACTTTGATCTACTTCACTTGGATAGTTGTACCATACTTGGGCATTTCCTTTATGTGGACCCACTAAAATGTCACAACAGTGTGCAAGCTTTTGAGTTCTCTTCCATAATGCATAGTCCTGGGGAACTTGAAAGCTTGCATATTTTGGTTGATGGTTAAGAATGTATTGCTCAGCTGTGGATTTCAAAAGCTTTTTAGTATTCATGAACATTTCTTGACTGCTTTTCACTAATTAAACGGATAGAAATATTCAAGTGATGACAAAGGGTTTATCACAGAGGCTTCCTCTGTCCTTGTACATCAAACCTTAGGCTCCTAGCTGTGAATCAGTTCCATCAGCTGCCCCACCCCACCTTTACCTTGCTTGAAAGTCTCTAAACCATAGTTCTTAGCTACAATTCCTGTTCTTCTGGCAGGGGGGGAAAGGTCAAGCTTAAGTCCCAGATTGCTTAAAAGGTTGAAATGAAACTTCTCATTGTGTTAAATTTTGATTGGAATTCACCTCTACATTGTCTTACATCCACAGCAATGGAGGGTTCTCAAATGCAGCTTCGTATCTTTGACCTCAATTGCTGGTGAGTTTATCTTTTTCATTTGTTTGGGGCATCTTTGACCTGAACAGCTTTTTTCACTATGACTTATTTCTAATATATTATCAAGAGTTCTGAATTGTATTCATTACTTTGAAAACTGTGGCATGTGGGTTTTTTCCTCATTGGGGCTTATTGTTTTTATCCCAAAGCAGGCTATCGGATGCCCTGTCTTTATGCTGTGGGATTTTAGTGTGTGGTGGTGGTGATGTTAAATATTCCTTGAATGCTATTGGCTTCTCTTTTCTTCCTGTTCTGCTTTCTGGACCACAAGTTCTTAGTTACAATTTTATAATAGTTACAATAGAGTTTTGGTTGTATGGGCAGCTTTGCCAAAATGATGGAGATGTGGGTTAAACTTTAGGAGAGAAATGGGTTAAAAAGGAGAGAAGCAACCTAGAACTAAGGAAAAACTTCCTGACAGTTAGAACAATTAAGTGGAACAACTTGCCTCCAGAAGTGGTGAATGCTCCAACACTGAAAGTTTTTAAGAAGAGACTGGACAGCCATTTGTCTGAAATGGTACAGGGTTTCCTGCCTGAGCAGGGGGTTGGACTAGATGACCTCCAAGGTCCCTTCCAACAACAACAACAATAACAACATCATCATCATCATTATTATTATTAGCTACAATAATGCATATTTGAAAAGGTCTTCAAATACAACTCTTCTGATATTTGGGGCAAGAATGATTGATTATGCCTGCAGTTGTGATAGTTCAACTTTAATTCTCCATTAGGCAGCTAAACTGCTTTGAACAATATAATTCTCTTAAGGTTTTCTTAGTTTTTATTATCTTTACAGTTTAAGTAGCAAACATTTTATCAGCTGACATCATTTCTGTGCTAGGTGCTAGGTCACTTGCTTGGAAAATTATTATTACACTTTCCAAGATAAGATGGAGTAACTGATCCATGTTGTATTAGTAGCTCCAGCCTATGAATCCCTTTTGTACTATTTACAAAACAAAAAAATAATATTCAGAGAGGGGTTTTTTTTCCAGAGATTTGAGGCATTTCATTTCATTCCAGAGACTTGAGGGACGTTCAGATTCCAGTGCTGATCTAGCTTGCAAATATATCTGAACAGTAAAATTTAATTGCTTGTCATGGGATTGGGGCACGATTCTATTTTTGTTCTTGTTCCCTGTAATACATTTGTCGCAAATACAAAAAAAATATGCTTGTGTATTACAGAGAACAATTCTTATTCCAATAAATTATTTGCAGTGTTAGTTCTCTGACTTCTAAAAAATATGTTTTCATAAAACACCGTGTTTTAAAAAATTACCAGTTTCCTAGTTCTACGTTAAAAATTCAAAATCCCTTTTAACATACCAGGATTCTTGACCTTCCTTTTACTGCAGGAATAGGCCAGGTCTCATTCTTCAGATTGTTGTTCCATTTCATCCTATGGTTTGCTTTTTTTTAGATTTTTTTTTAAATCCTACCATTATTACTTTATAAGTAACTCAGTAAGGTTAACATACATGATATGCCTTCCTCCTTCCATTTTCTCCACAATAACTCTGGGAAGTGAATTGGCCTGAGAGAAAGAGTGATTGGCCCAAAGTTACCTGGATAGTTTTCATGCCTAAAGTGGCGTTAGAACTCACAGTCTCCTGGTTTTAAGCCAGTGCCTTAATCACTGCACTAAACTGGATCAACATGCTGGATTTCTGATATTTAGGAAATGTTATTTGCTATTATGCATTTAAACAGATAGCATTTGGAGGGAAGGATAGAGGTGTGCTTTTAGAAAATGGATGAGCATCAGCAAATCTTTAGCACATATAGCACATTTGTAGAATGTGGTGGTAAAAGAAACTCCCTCCCCACACATAATTTGAGCTGCATTTACTATCAAACCTGTAAGATGCCCCTTCCCCCACACACATTAACTGCTTTAAATGCATTGACATCAGCCTGAATTGACCCTGAATGGCAAGAAGGGGAAGAGTCAGTCAGGAACCTGTGGCCCAATAAACCAAACTGTTTATAGTCACTGACCATCTCTCAAAGATTGTATAGCTAGCATGCTCTAATCGGAATATATACTGTAGATAGTACTAAGATCACATGGATGGGTTTTATCAAAAACATTCTAACATCATGCTGTAATTTCCACAGTGCGTGCCTTTGTTTCTTTATCTTGCCTTTGCAATGTAGTAGGACAAGGTTATATAAACTATGGTTCTCCTTTGCCATGGCTGCTCAGCAAAGTGTCAGGGATTTGCTGGGAGCCCAATATATACTGTATGTTAAAATTTTGCTGCATCAAAGTGATTGGGTTGCTTTAGGTGAGTCAGGGTTTTGGCCATAATAAGATTAATCCCTTGAACTTGAATTTAGGAAGACTCTATTTGACAAAACAGCTCCCAGTGTTAGGTATATCTGCGTGTTTTCATAATTCTGAAAAGACACACAAAGGAATTAAATATCATTCAACATTGTTAATCTAATCGAATCTTCATGTTTTTGGTTTGGCCACTAAGGTTTTTATTGATCTATTTCTAGGAGCTATCCTTTAATTTCTGAAAGCTCCCTAATTTTCCCTGTCTTGATGGTAGGATTTAGTCCTCAAATAAGGTCCACTGGGCTGTTTTTATTCAATGTTTCTAGACATTTTAGTGTGTCTTAATAGGGATCATCTTAAGCGTATATGCATAAATTGGTGACACTGTATATTTTTATACTGTGCAGTATATTTATATTTAAAGGAATTGCAATGGATAATGATGTTAACTGTCTCCTTTACTATGGTCCAGGCAAAAATAGCTCCATCTAATGGTTGAAGTATTGGGAATGAACTGAGATGGCTTTGGGCCATCTGGCTAGTTTCAGTTCAATTTACTTTGTTAGGGTGGTATTATAGGGATAAAATTAATCTTATTTAGTAAGCTGATTAAAAATAGTTTGAGCATGTGCACATATTAGTAGAAGTAGGCACTTTGGATATGCACATGCACATGTGCACATCCAAATAAATAAGTAAATACTTTACCAGCAATTGGGAAACAAAATAACCACAAGCGTACCAATCTTTGGGTGTGAATACATTATAGGCACATTTCTAGAAATGCAGTAAAACAGATTTGATATGTTAAGTTAAGTCAAGGCCTTAATAGTTATTCTAACAAGCTGACCTGCATTTTACAGCAGGAAGAAGAAGTGTCTTTGGTAACCCATGTCCCTGAGTCCTGTGTCCCCACAAGCATGCACTCTGGGACCAGGCACAGATTAGGAAGGATGTTACATGCGTTGAACAGAGGGAGACACATATGAAGTTAAAGGAACATGCAATAATAATACTTTTGTATAAGCAAACATACAAATTGATTCATTGTGAATTCTTATTCCAATCCCTCACAATGGTGATCCTCACTCCTCTCCCTTTCCTTTTCACCTTGTCTAGGGCCATTCGTTACCTGAGCAAATTACGGCGAGAGCGGGTTGCGTTGATTGGGGATGTCCTTAACCAGGAGGGATTTGATCTGGCACTCTTACAGGAGGTAAAGATTTCACATTCTGGAATGGATCTTGTTAGAACAAAAAGTGGGATTTTAATCCTACTTCATCTGGTGACATATTACATTTTCATACATGATGTTAAAAGCATGGTTTGTTTTGTTGAAGAAAATATCATGTCCTATTTCATACAGTACTAGTCATAAGCCCAAACTCAACAAATGACATTATGGCTTAGTGTGATGGGTAAATTCAACCACTGGAAGGGTGTGCCTATTTGTTGTTACACAGATCAGCAGAGGCCTTCTTGCCGCGCTCTAGAGAAATCTTAAAGGACTCTGCACAGTTGCAGAAAAACATAAAAAATGCAAGAGAGTTATTTTGGGACTGGCAATTAATTGAAGATAAGCTTAGGGACCTTGGTCCCCAGATCAACATGCCATTTTGTTACTTTTTTCACAGTCACTGTGGTGATAGCATTTTGCTTTTCAGGTATGGAGTGAAAAAGATTATCTCGTGCTGCAAAAGAAACTGTGTACTCATTATCCTTCTTCCCACTACTTCAAAAGGTAAAAATGAAGTTCAGGTAATCTCTTACGTTTTCTTTTGTTTAACTTCCGAAAGGCATAGATATCAAGTTGATACTACTTAATAAGGCAGAAAAAGCCTTCCTAGTTCAGAATCAGGAGCACTGGTGGCGCAGTGGTTAGAATGCAGGATTGCAGGCAAACTCTGCCCACTGCCAGGAGTTCAATCTTCACTGGCTGAAGGTTGACTCAGCCTTCCGTCCTTCTGAGGTTGATAAAATGAGGAATCAGATTGTTGGGGGCAATATGCTGACACTGTAAACTGCTTAGAGAGTGCTGTAAAGGGGTATATGTCTAAATGCTATTGCTATTGCTATCATGATGTCACTTTGTCCAGGTAGCATTCCCCAGTCTGGTGCTCAAAATATATTTGATTGCCTTTTACCATCTCTAGAAAGCAGATTACAGTCATTGTTCTGTTTGGGGTGTATCACTAAAGTTTTTGCAAGATTTTAATTTCAAGAAGAACACAGTTTCAATTTGTGTCCATGGCTGAAGGATAACACAAGCTTTTTTGTTGTTGTTCCATCTTAAAATTAGCTGGATTTTTCTGTCTAACTGGACAAAGTATGATTAGACTTAAAAGTAGGTAAAGACAAAAGTTGGCACATTGGGTCTTGAGGATCCTAGAGCCTCCATTGATCATGGCACTCAACAACACTGGTATGATTCATACACAATTGTAGTCTAAATCTTAAAATTAGCATAATAGTTTTTTTAAATTGATCCAACTCTATTTCTCCCAGACAAGGACAGGGAAAAGTATATATAGTTCAGCTTTATTGAGGATATATAAATGGAATCAGTTGGGTGTAGTGGGTGAGGTACAAGTCTACAAACCATTAAACCGAGTTCTAGCCCCACCTTAGGCACATGAAGCCAGCTGGTTGATCTTGGGCCAGTCACTGACTCTCAGCTGAAAGATACCAGTTGGGAGAAGGTGGTTGAAAGCTTCTAAACAAAGAGCTATGTTGGGCTGCCACAGAGATTGAAGTCTTTTCCAGAATTTTTCTGCAAAAATATGTGTTCTTGACTGTACCTAAACATTGTTGGACTTAGCTTCCTAACAATGATTGTCTTTTGCTTTTCAACTGACTTGTGTATCTTTAGTAGTCCCTGCCTACTAGGTGTGGCAGGTTAATTGAACAGCCTGCAGATTTGCTTTAATGGGATGTGGTCTCAATTGGGACCTGTTATGCTACTTGTTCTTGACAGTGAGGCCGATGAACTTGGAGCTATTACTGGTTACTAAGGATATAGCTTACATGCAAACGTGGCAGGATGTTGAGTCATACTCGTATCACACTGGGAGACTGGTTGAATTTCCTGTACTACTTTGAGCCGTATTGACTCTTGAGTAACTAGATCCCCAGATCTGCTATGGTAGAAAACAAAAGGAATGATAAAAATATACATTGTATAACTTAAATGCAACTGATCATGGAGCAGCTTAGTATTTTTGTGTAAATTTTAGCATACGGATCAGATAAATTGTCTTGTGATTACAAATATGATCAAAAAATGTAGTTGTATTGTGGCTTAAAGTATATACAGTACAGGCAGTCCTTAATTGAGCCCAAAATTTCTGTTGCTAAGCGAGACAGTTGTTAAGTGAGATTTGCTCTATTTTACATTTTTCTTGCTGCAGTCATTAATAGAATGGCTTCAGCTGTTAAGTTAGTAACATGGTTGTTAAGTGAATTTGGCTTCCTTGTTGACTTTGTTGTTCAGAAGATCACAAGGTGATCATATGACCCCAGGATATGGCAACTATCATGTAACCATGGAGATGTTGCAGTGGTCGTAATGGTGAAAAATAGTTATAACTCCCTTTTTCAGTGCTAATGTAACTGAATGGTCACTAAAAAAACTGTTGTAACTCAAAGTCACCTGTACATCCAATGTATATGTAGCTGTTGAAACCCCAGTTCATGGCAAGCTTCAATTTCTGGTGGTTTTGTAAAATGTCACTCTGTTCTCAGAGAGCCGGGAATAATTCCAAAGGTTCTAAAAATGCTGCTTTTTCTCTGGAAACCTTTACCTGTGTTCCTCATCACAGAGTTATATTCCAGAAAGCTCAGCTTTAGATTCATATGGCAGGTAGGAATGGAGTCCTGTTCTCAATCAGAGACATGAAAACCCCTTTTTACTTTAAGTCCTGAGAATTAACTCCACTTGCCAAAATTTGGTGGCAAACTGCCAAATAATGGTACAGTTATTTGCAAAAGCCACATAAATTAAATGCATAAAGCTTCCAGTACTCTTAATCCAAGAAATGAGAGAAAGAAGTGGAGATTCTTGCCCTCACCACTTCCAGTGACGTTGTCGCCCCGAGAGCTTTGGCCACTGACAAAAAGTGTGGTCCCAAACTCTCAAAGTCTGCCCACCATAGAGAAGATAATGATTTGGTGTCTGTTCTTCTGCAGTGGGGTGATTGGCAGCGGGCTCTGCATCTTCTCCAAACATCAGATCCTGGACACCTTCTTGTACCAATATTCTGTGAATGGCTACCCATACATGGTGAGTAACATGCTTAGGAAAGAGTGCAAGGCACACCTATTTGTATTCGTTGTTTCAGTTTTGCCCGTGTTTTATATATGCTGTATTCTTTCACAGTTCCAGCATGGAGACTGGTTCGGTGGCAAATCCGTGGGTCTCATAGTGCTAAAGATCGAGGGCATTATTTTCAACGTCTATGTGACTCATGTGAGCATCCCTATTTGTTTTATTTTGTTGCACTTTAAAATTATGAAAGCTTTTCTCAAATCCCTCATTTAGACCAAGCTGTCAAAATAACTACGTCATGTGGAAAGGGGTGAAGAGTACTTTCCATCTTTTGACTTGAGTTAGGAAGATGCCATCTTCATGAATTCACACCCTCAGTAATACCTTGCTGTTGGGTTCCACATCTTCCTGCACAAGTGGCTATTTTGCATCTTGACATCTGGGTGGGCAAAGTCAGGGTTTTTCTGTGTGCCTAGAGAAAATGTGGTTAGTCTTTAGAGCTACAGATCAATGGTTTTGTACTGCTATTAGAAATCTGGAACAAGATTTCTGAAAAGGAGGAAGATTGAACAAATCTATACTGTTCACTATATTTAGTGTATGTGAATGGAAGCAGTTTATTTGTGAATTGTGAATTGTGAACCAGTACCAGGCTAAAAACCAGGAAACTGTGAGTTCTGGTCCTGCCTTAGGCATGAAGCCAGTTTTGGGCCAGCCACTTTCTCTCAGTCCTAGGAAGAAGATGGTAGCCAACCACTTCTGAAAAATCTTGCCAAGAAAACTGCCAGGACTAGTCTAGGTGGTCACCAGGCATCAACACTGACTCAAAGGCTCTCCTCCCCCCAAAAAACAAGATATCACATATTTGTTTCTGGTGTGTATAAATATTCACATTTACATTATTCTTGATTCAGGAGACAAAGCAGTCATTAATGCTAAAATTAATTTACCTGTGATCTAAGATTAATCAAACAATTCTACACTACGCATATCAAAAAGTCCATTTTTATCATGAGACTTTCGGGAAGAAGCTCATGACATAACTTAAATTCTTTCCACCTTTCTCTTGTAACCATGAACCAAGATTTTTTTCTGCTATTTTATATTCAGCAACTAAAATGAGTGTGGAAATAATGGCTGTGTAATTTCATAGATAATGCACATAATTTTTATACATTTATTTTTCCCCCCAGCTCCATGCTGAATATTGTCGAGAGAAGGATACATACCTGCCCCATCGTGTGGTTCAGGCCTGGGAACTTGGCCAGTTCATACAGTAAGAATTATAGCTGTAGAATTCAAACAAAGTTTGTGCTGTATTGGAATCCAATGACAGGGGCTATGTCACTAGTGTCCCCTTGGTCCCCTGAAAGTTAACTTTAGCTAGCTAAAAGTTAAAAGCTTTAGCTCAGGAGAAGCTCAGTTTATTTCATACCAGAGAGATTGAGAAGGATGTTTATTAATTAGGGATACATTTCATATAACAGTGTTTATATTTCTCTCTTCAAAAAAGCTCTTCTGGCTTGTTTTGTGATTCTCTCCCACCTTTCCAGGCATACCTCCAAAGGAGCTGATGTGGTGCTGCTTGGAGGAGACCTGAATATGCACCCAGAAGATGTTGGCATCCGGCTATTGAGAGGATGGACGGGGCTGCGAGATTCCTTCATAGCTGCAGAGAAAATTAAAGTGAGCATCTTTGCATGCACAAGTACTTGAATATGTCCATGTGTGATATTATCATCGAGACTCAGAAACAATTATTTTCACTCATTCAAAAGATGGATGTACAGTGACCTGTTTTATCCCCCATTTTGGGCTATCCCCCATTTTGTTCCCCCAAGTTTAGATTTCTGCGATGGAAATCCAGTTCACCTCTTGCACTCTTGCAACTACTCTAAGTGTTGTGTTTAAGAGTCTCTGTTGTCTCTGATCTTTTTCTCAGGGCTGTGAAGATGGCTGTACCCTTGTGCCAGCCAACTGCTACATCAACAAGAAAGAACTGCAGTGTTATCCCCAAGGGATTCGTATTGACTACATTCTTTATAAAGTACGTGCAAGTTAATATCTAGAAAACAGAGACTGAGCAAAATGTTGTAGAGAGAGTTTGGGAAGCAGGTGACAATGAAAGCTCTCTCATTTGAAAAACACTTCCCACTAAACAAGGCAGCTGCTCCATGTTTTCAACTTTATCCTTTGGTAATGGGTTCAGCTACTAGTTATTTACTGTTGTGTTCATTTGACAGTTGCTCTCAGGCGAGGAAGGTCCAGACAGTGCTAGTATGGTGTGTGCAAAGCTAAGAGCAGAAGGGTTGTGTGGCACTTCAGCATCAAGGACAGAATCCAAGGCATCTGTCTGAATGTTGTAAATTGAATGCACCTTTTTTTTTTTTTTTAACCAGGGGATGTGAACATTGGGTGTGTGTGTATAGGGGGAGCAACTCCCTGACCCCAGGGAAAAAAATGACTTAGGAAGTTGCAGAAAAACACTACCTGAGCACATTTGTCTGTTCTGAAGCATTGTGCAGCCTTAAAATGTAGGTTTGTGCATTACTATCCTGGAACATTGAAATCATTTGATTGAACCCAGAGGAACAATACTTTCACAGCTATTGTTCCTTCCCATTTCAAAACAATGGTTTATGATGGAAAAGTCACCTTTAATCTATGAATCTCTTTTTCCAGCAGGAAGGGAAATAACAATTACAGCTGCTTTCTTAATCTGAATCTGAACACTTCTAAATAGTCTCTTGAGATACATTCAGGAGACTAAAGTGAAATTCATGGGAATAGAAAACTGAAAATTCTTTTTAAGCTCTCCTTTAATTTGCTGTTCTCTGATGTTTATCATTAAAATGGAGGGCCATTTTAGATGTATTGTGAAAAATCTCAACTGTTTACTATCTAATTTTTTGGGAGCAAGATAGAAAGGAATACCTTAAATCAGAGCTGTCTTTCAGTGGACAAGTACCTATGTACTACTTAAATCTGAAGATATGGTAATGGACGTTAAATGGCAATTGTTGACATTTAAGATTAATTAGATAAAAAATTATCCAAAGGAACAAACTGCCAGGAGATGTTGTAGAATCACATTCCTTGGAGATACTTACCTTTGTGGATAGATTATATGACAACATGTATAGTGAAATTTCTCTTAGAGTAAATCTAGTTCCTTTTGGACATTTCAGACTGCTACTGTTTTTCTAAGAAAACAACATTCCATTTTTTTCTGCATTATTGGTAGCTCATTAATCTAGCTATAACATTTTAGGAGATGTTTCTTTAGTTATGCTATTTGCAGATAACAGTTTGCTACCTTGTCTGTCCTTTTTTATAGGGCTCATCTCAATATGATATTAGATGCAATATTCATGAAACTACTACGGGAACTGCTCCTGGCAAGGATTTTCCTTACTCTGACCATGAAGCTGTCAAAGTGACACTCTCTATAGTCCAATCAAATAAAAGTGAAAACAATCTTCCAGTTGGTGAGTGTTCAAATTTCATTGGTTTCCCACAAGCGAAGCTAAAGCAGGAGGAATAGAGAATCTGTGGCCTTCCAACTATTGCTGTACTACAATGACCATCATTCCTAGACAGTGCGGTTACCTATTATTGAAAGATTCTTCGAGCATCTATAATATTAAGCAGTGTCTGGAATCTCCAGATTCCCTATGCCTCCGTGAGAAGGTTCTTAGGATCGGTCAAACGAAAGGTAGCGGGCAATGATTTTCTTGTGAACTAATTCACTTTTCTTTATTTGCAGCGTAACAAAGAAATATATACATTTATAATAACAATAACAACAATAATAATAGTAGTTGGAAGCAACCTTGGAGGTCATCTAGCCCAACCCCCAGCTCAGGCAGGAAACTCTATACCATTTCAGACACATAGCTGTCCAGTCTCTTTTTAAAAACTTCCAGTGTTGGAGCATTCACAGCTTCTGGAGGCAGGTTGTTCCACTGATTAATTGTTCTAACAGTCAGGAAATTTCTCCTTAGTTGTAGGTTGCTTCTCTCTTTGGTCAGTTTCCATCCATTGCTTCTTGTCCTGCCTTCAGCTGCTTTGGAGAATAGCTTGACTCCTTCTTCTTTGTGGCAACCCCTGAGATATTGGAACACTGCTATCATGTCCCTCCTCGTCCTTCTCTTCGTTAAACTAGACATACCCAATTCCAGCAACTGTTCCTTATATGTTTTAGCTTCCAGTCCCCTAATCATCTTTGTTGCTCTTCTCTGTACTCTTTCTAGAGTCTCAACATCTTTTTTACATCGTGGTGACCAACATTGGATGCAGTATTCCAAGTGTGGCCTTACCAAGGCATTGTAAAGTGGTATTTTCACGTAATTTTGATTCTATCCTTCTGTTAATGCAGCCCAGCACTGTGTTGGCTTTTTTGGCAGCTGCAGCACACTGCTGGCTCATACTTAAGTTGTAGTCCACTAGGATACTAAATCCCCATCACAGTTACTACTATTGACTACTAGTAGTTACTATTACTGTTATCTTCAACAGCTTCATCTACTCTCCCTCTTTTTGTTTCTGTCTTCAAGGGAATATAGTGAATTGCTTTATGGCCTAATTGCTCTACCATTCTGGGATTAACTAGCTCCCTGCCTGCAATAGCCGGGCTTCTGCTAAAATTGACTATACCTCCATTAAAATATAATTGTTACTAAATTCCCAAGATAGTTAATCAAGGACTTTAATTAAAACTTTAGCTGGCGATCTCTTGCAATCAACACAAACTTGATTTTTCTCTCTGGTTTCTTCTTCCTCTGGATGTCTCTGCTGAATATACCAGTGCTTTGTTACATAATTCTCTTTTTCGGTGATCATCAATTACCCCAGAGTCTGCATGGGACTGCTAAATCTTTCCTTGCTTGACGATTGTCTTCTTCTCTTTCTTGGAATCTGAGCCAGAACACTATTACTCCCTGCTAGCTTTTTCAGCTCATTTAACTCTATGCAAGTTTGTGTATGAAAGCCTCTTATCATACCCCATGTTTAGTCTGAAGTGATCATTCCCGTAATTACAGTTTGTATATCTAGGACAGCGGTCTCCAACCTTTCTGTCTCAGCAGACTGGTGGAGGCAGCGGTAGCAGGATGGGGAGAGGGAGTGGTTTTAATGGGTGCGTGTGTGCTGCTTTCACAAATGCAACTTTGCATGCACATGGGCTTGCCCACCACTTCCCCGGCCTGGTTCCGAACAGGCTGCAGCCCAGCATTGAGCCACGGACCAGGGATTGGGGACCCCTGATCTAGGAGATTCTATAGCAGGATAGCAGATGCTGTTTGCCTTCTCTGTTTTGTCACAGCCTATATCATTATTCATCTATATTTTTCTAGCCAGGCACTTATATAAAACTAATTTCCCATTTTGTTAATTTCAGAAAGAAAACTATCCATTGGAGTAGCCAAATAACTCCCTCTCTCTTTCTCTTGATAAAATAGCAATCAGTCTGTGACAGCTGAATCTCACTGTGCAGAATTAACAGCTTCATGTGGTTGAAATCACTATTCTCTTTACTTTTAGAGCCAGTTCTGGTGGATGTCTTGAACGAAGCCCGTCTGGAGGTGCAAGTGGGGTTACATTCAGCAAAACGGCAGCAGTATTTGTGTGGCCGCATGGCCGTCCTGGCTGTGCTTCTGCTGGTCATACAAGGAGCCATGGCAATGAGTTCCATATTTGGTGGAGCTCTCCAGCAGCCCTTCCCCAAGTTCTCCTTCTCTTTGCTCAGTCTACTCTCTGTGTCAGTCCTGCTTATCTCAGCTGTGCTCTATCTCTTCCACATCATCGAAGTGAAGGTGCTGCGGGGAACAGAGGAACAAATGCGGGTGGGGCTGAAGACGCTCCAGGAGAAATTCAACAGCAGGTGAAACATTTGATGGCTGCACTGATGGCATGAACCAAGAGACTGGGCAGAGGTGGAAATAACAAATCCCTCTGTGATTCTCAGCAATAACAGTTCACTGGTTCTAAATAAGGAATGGTAATTAACCTTTGATACTGTAAAGGGGGGAGTTTAATAGGCTGGATTTTTGAGCAGTAACATTTTTAGATTTTTTTGTGCTGAAGCCATGGGTGGATTGTGAAACTAACCTGGCTATTTAAAAAAAAACAATTTTTATCGTAAAATACTATTTTAATAGAATTAAACACATACTGGACTGTTAAATTTGTATTGAGAAAGCAGGTAAGAACAGATGCGTAAAATAAAATGCTCCTATTTATACAGCTACTTTTCCTGCAACTATAATGTTTTCAGCTGTACTAAGTAAATGGTAACGACTATTGATAGAAATCTGTTTTTAGTATGTACCTTGTTGTGTAACACTTTAGCATTTCTTTACACTTTAGATCAGGGGTCCCCAATCCTCAGTCCGTGGACCGCGGCATGCCAGCAACCAGTCCACACAAACAAGCAAAGCCCCATCTGCAGGATATAGGCAGCATACAAAACCACATTCCCTCCGGTCCATGCAAAGAAAAACCTCTCTCCACAGAACTGATCCCTGGGCCCAAAAGGTTGGGGGCCTCTGCTTTAGATGACCATGTACAGTGCATTAGTTTTAGGAGCTGTCCAGTTCCTGGTGCTTAATTGTAGGAAGGGATATCTTCAGAATTTAGCAGAATATCATATATAGTCCATCCTTAAGTTCACAGAGAAGAGCAATACATGTTACCTTAAGATGACTTAAGGTATCCCTCTTCTCTCAAGAGTGTCAGAGTCCAGTGTAACCAAAATCTGAAACATCTGGGTTTTGGCCAAGACAAATTTGATGGAGTCTTATTCGATGTATATGGTAAAGCTGATATACACCACCCCTCCCTCCTGTCTCCTTATGGCACATGCACACAGCCCTCCCTTGATCTTTCTGTTCCCCCACTTCCTTTAGTCATTGCCGCCCTCCCCACTTTTGCCCAGATGATATAGGTGTATTTTGGACGGGGCACACAGACCAGTCAGACCTGGATCTTGTCATAGAACACTCAATGACTGAAATGTTTGCAAACCCTATTACACCTATGTTCAGGTGGGGTTAATCAGAACCAACCACGACGAGAGGAACTTGAGTCAAAAAGTGATTTTTGAAACACACAAAGCTTTGATACCCATGCTGAAAATATAATAGAAATTAGTTATAAATCATCCAATGTCTGTAAAGAAGTAGGCAACCAGCTCTTTGGTATCTTTCGTACATGCATTTCTTTCATCTACTAATTTTCTTTTTTTCTCAAAAATACTTGGTGTGAAAATTAATTTTAACTAGTTTCAGTTCAAATTTAAGGTCAGGCTTGACTTAATTACCTCTAACTAAGAACTATATTATCTGCCTTGGCCGCCATTTGCAGCTTGCTGAAAGCCAAATAACATAATCCTGGCCACTTCTTGGAAGAAATTGGGTCAAGACCAAGAAAACTTTGGAAAAAGCTGGATGAATATTTCCTCTATTGTGAAATTAACTTGGATAAAAAAAGACAGAACAGTGTTTCCTTTTCACTCCATTATGTTTATTGGAGCTGTGCCTGTGAAAAGCCAGTTGGCTTATATCGATCTAGAAGTAGACACTTTCAGATTATAAACTGACTTTAGTTACCAAATAATGTTTGTTCACTTGAAATTTTTCTCCAGGAGCAGCGTATTTGCGATCTGCATCCACATTCATCGTTTATTTTGCAGGAAAAGCATACATTTTCCAACCGTGCTTGTCCAGCTTCAAGAGCTTGCCCTATAGCAGGGGTGTCAAACTCACATTTCATTGAGGTTCACATCAGCATAGCAGTTGCCCTCGAGGGGGGGTGTAGCCAGGGTGGGTGTGGATGGAGTGGGTGTGGCCTATTGAGTGGGCATGGCCAGCTCTACATCGTTCAGTTGAAGGGTACCTGTGGGGGCCTGGGCAGGAGTGGGACAGATCTGAGGGTCTCTGGCAGAAGGGGGTGGGACCGGGGCAAATGCCAAGGCATGGTCCACTGGAAGAGCCTCACTGCCTGCTGAAACCCCTCCGCCGGAGCCTATCAAGCCGGATATGAGAAGTAGGCGAGGGCCATTTGCTGGCCACTTCCAGGCGATGGTGCATTTCTTCATTCCACACAAAGGGTGACACCTCCCCAGCATGCACCCAGAGGGCGAGGCCGACATGGCAGGGACTGGTTCCTCACTGTTTCCATATGACCTTCTAGAGCTAAGGCTGAATGAGTTTCAGCATAGATGGCCACCACAAAATTGTACATTGGCTCCTGGCCGACCTGTGGGGGCCGTTCCCTCACTGTTTCCAGGATGGTTTCGCGGGTCACATGAAACCACTTTGTGGGCCGCATCTGGCCCCCGGGCCTTGTGTTTGACATATCTGCCCTATAGCATCTGTTATGCTTCTACATACATGGAGAAATAATGCAAGAGAGGTATATTTCTCCTTGGACATTTATTATGACAGAAGCCCTTAGATGATGGCATTTTAAATTTTTATTGTAGGGCATCTATTTCTTTCCTCTAAAATACACTGTTGATTCTGTGTATCCTTCAAGAGATTTTAACTAATCTTCCTCTAGAATACAACTCTGGACAGTTTGTAGGCTCCTCTGAACTTCATGAAAGCATCATGCTTTTTTGCTTTTAGAACAATGTAAAATGTTTTCTCCATTTAAACCATACAGCCCCTCCTAATTTACCACATCTAGAATGATCACAAACATGGTCACCTGCAGCAGTAGAGTGAAAGAAATGTTTTCTGTTGGATGAGGCCCTATGTCAAAGGGGAGCATGCTAACTGGAAATATATACAATTGTCGCTAAATAATACATACATCTTCTGAATATTATTTTCCCTCCAAATGCTGCAAATAGGCTGCTTTCTTAAAGCCATTAGCAGTTGTATCTGCAAACAATTAAAAGCAGTTCTACATAGTTTCCTTATTATTTCCTAAAACACTTAAAACGTAATTGCATCAAGATCAGGCTTCTTTAGCTCCGTCTAGAACCACCATCAGACATTAACCGTCAAGAGTAAACTTTGCATAAACTCCAATTTTGGGGCTTCCGCTGGTGGTATTCAAAATAATTGAAACATGGACAGATGTCTAAGCACATGAACCACTTCAGGGCTTCGAGGTCGGTTTGAGCATATTGTTCATCTCATAATGAGCATATTTCCACACTTACAGCAGGAAAGCTACTGCTAAGCTGTCACAGAGTATAAAACAGCAGCTAAGTTCCTTTTCCAAGTGGTGTTTTTTGCCAAAACGGAATGGTTTGCCAAATATGAAGGGCATTCAGCAAATTTATCCACCGGGTAAACCTGATCTCAAATATTCTAGGCATTTTCCATCATTGGAGCATGCTCAGAAAGCTCATTGAGCCTCTTCCTCTCTTGCATCTCAATCAGAGCACTGCGTTGATTCACAACTGCAAGCAGTTGGGACAGGATCGTCTTCTCTGCCTCACAGTCCTCAGAAGTTTTCAAAGAATCTTTAAAACAAAAAGTACATGCACAGACTAAAGAACCGTTCTTGCTATTCAATTACATAAAAAAAGGAGAAGTGGAAGAACTGCAAATATCTGGATTACACCTCCAAACTTCTTTGGTTGTGCTGAGACTGACAATTTTTGGAAAGAGGCAACATCTGGGGAGCTGCAAATTCCCTATCCTTTATCTACTATTTTGTCAAAGTGAAAAGATAACATGGAAACCTGGGAGTTAAATTTCATCAGGAATAGACTTCCAAGAATGATACTTTTATAACCATAAATTGAATGAATGAATGAATATAAATGCTCCAACCGTGAAGTTTTTAAGAAGAGACTGGACAGCCATTTGTCTGAAATGGTATAGGGCAGTGGTTCTCAACCTTTCTAATGCCGCGACCTCATAATACATTTCTCCATGTTGTGGTGACCCCCAACCACTTATACATCACCGGGTGCCAGGGGCGTGGCCAAAGAAAAAGGGAAAAAATGGCAGACAGCCTTGTTTGGGGACCCCCGTGAAATGGTCGTTCGACCCCAAATGGGGTCCCAACCCACAGGTTGAGAACCACTGGTATAGGGTTTCCTGCCTGAGCAGGGGATTAGATTAGATGACCTCCAAGGTCCCTTCCAACGTTATTACTATTATTATTTAATGTTACTAGTTTTTCTGCCCCAACATAACATCATTCCATGCACACAGAGTAAACATACCCAAGTGCTATTTTTTTTAATTCAAGGAATGAATGCATGTTGTTTTCGACTCTATGTAACGACTTGCTGAATGAGTGAATATTCTCAATCAAATTCTTTTATTATTTAAAAAAAGTATGATCAAAAGGTAAATATATACTAGCATTCTTTTGTTTACATTTCCTATCCTGAGAATACTGAGACTGCAAATGATAATAAATATGCTGTCAAAGACAAACTTTGACAAAACACACATATTGTTAACAGAAGGCAAATGTGAAACTCTTCTTTGCAAACAAACTTTTTCTTTTGACTTTTAGATTCGGTTAGTAACCCAATGGACATGTCCATTTATTTAGAACTTTCACAATGTTGGGTTTTTCAGGACTTATGATCATCAGATTCCTGGCTTTTCACAATCACAAGAGGGCAGCTCCATTAGCAAATTTCTCTTTTTAGTGCAAAAAACGATTATTGCTCATCTCATAATGAGTTTAGGCAGCTATTTATTTATTCATTTGTATCCCACCTTTATTATTGTACAAATAACTCAAAATGGCGAACGTATCTAACACACCTTCCCCTCTTCCCACAACAACCTATTATGTTCTTTCTTACCATCCATATTATAATAGCGGCGTAGTTCTTGATCCAGCTGGCACTGCTGCTCCTCTAGCGTCAGCTCTTGCACACTAAAAAAATTGTCGTTATTACAATCCACAATTGAGAAAAAATTCCTGATAACATAAGGAATTCCCTTCCATGGAGCCTCTATACTGATTCTCTCATTGCAACGTGCTGTCCTCCAGATAGATAGACAGACAGACAGATAGAAAGTCAGTCAGTCAGTCAGACATATATGTATACATACATATACACACATACTCATCTCAAAAGCTCCATACTAAATAAGGAAGAGAATAGATGACGTTACTATACCTTAGGCATATTTGCCTTGCTAACAGAAGTATCGTAGCAAGATCGTCAGTATTTCCAAGTTATTTTACTAACTATTGATCATTCACCAGTGGAATGTTCATTTTATATTCTTCTTGCAGATTTTTCATCTAATATAAATTGCCTGTCCACAAGTTTCCAGGGATTCACGCTCAGAATTTTAAGTCACAGTCTATGATGGAGTCATATTGCAATTGGCCATTATATAGTTATTACATATTGGCTTAATCCAACATATAGTTATTAAAGCTTAGCTTAATATTCAACCACTATGGTTTGGAAGTTTAATTTATGAATTAGCAAGGTATGCATATCTGGTCACCATTACATATGACAGGACTTTACTCAGTTGAATTCAGCCTTTGACTTACAGGTAGTAGCCTTTGAATGCTATTATAGTACAGCTTTTTCTTAATTTTGATTTGAGTTAATAGAGTGAAAAGCTATTGATTTTGATTCTGATTGTCATAATGTCTAACCATAGATCGTATTGGTTCTGGTATTTATTATTTATCACATTTGTAGGTCACCCAACTCCAAAACGATACCAGATGGCTTCACAATGCTAGAACTAACAGTATTATAAAATATTATAGGAGCTATTAATCCAAAACATTGGGAAGGCTTTTGGAACTAGGTAAAAGATAACTGAAATAATAAAGGACTATGAGCTGATGTCAATTATATTTTCCTCTTTGGGGCAGAATGCTTTTATTAATATATGATGTCAAACAGATTACCTTATTTGGAGTGTGAAATTATATTTCTAACACTTTTCTGGGACACAACATGGGGGGTGTTTATACTGTTCATGCTCTCTAGAAGTCATTCTGGTCATTTTTTATGCAAGGTATGAAGCTAGTCCACTTGCTGGACTGAAGGTTATGTTAGTGGGAGGAGAAGCCCCAAATGGACTGTGGTCTCCCTTGTAATTCCTATGGCACATAAAAGAGCAATGCTGGATCCATTTTCTATAGTCAAAATGAGTTACAGATCTTAACTGACATAACTTGCAGAGTTCCTTACTCAATCATCAGGTCAGACTCTTCAGACATCAAGCTGTTCTTCTTTTGAATCAAAGTGAGCAACTGGTTCACCCACTGTTTCTTCAGTTCAGACTCTGTTCCTAAAGAATATGATGAAGGTAGGAGGTTAAATCTGTCATGTTAGCTTAAAGAAGAACCATTATACCACTTTGTGGCACCCGTTCTTCATATGTGGCCATCTCAAACACCATTCCTATTCAAGGAAGCATCAGATTCTTACCTGCCTCTTTTCGCAGAGATTGTTCCACCTTGACGCCCTGTTTCTCAAGCTCCCGAAAAGTCACTTCAATCTCTTCTAATCGCCTCTGGATGGCCTGCAAAAATGTTGGTCAAAATAAAAACTGATTAAAACAAAGATTTGGAAATGTAAGAAGAGGAACCTGTAACCAGATTCTAAAGCAGAGGAGGGAATTTTAGGAAAAGGAACCCTTTTAAAACAGGTC